GGGGGGGAGGAGGGGGAGGCCTCTGCTGCGTCTGCAGCTCGTGTTCTGTGCATGTGCGTTCGGTCGTCCTCCTCGCGAGCCGAGGAGCTAAAAATTCTCGTCTTATTCTTCGTGTATTCCGCGCCGCAAAGCGTCCTCCTCGTCTATTGCCGCTGCATCGCGGTGGTGCTGGTGGTGTGTAAGCCACACGAGCAGCAGGGCGGGCGCAACGCGGCGACACAGCGCGGCGTTCACTCTTTTACAACCGCGCGGCCACTTTCACAAGTCATCTCGGAACAATGCGGTGCGCGGAGAGAGAGGTTCAGATAGATAGAGAAGAGAGGGAGGCGACTCCCTTCTGCTTTTTATTATGGCGCACGTTCTACACTCTACCACCTTCGGCTGCACCTGCGGGGCCCCACCAGGAAGTAGGACTACTACTACTACTACAGCAGCTCTAGAGCACGAACGGAAATGCAGGAAGGTAAAGGGGGGCGGAGGAGGAGGAGGGAGGTGTCATCGCGATAGTCTCTCTCTCGCGCCTCATCGGAAAAGGAAGGGAGGAGGATACGGGGGGGGGGGGGGCGTTAGCGCAATGCTCCTCTCCGAGCATGTCAAGGCTCTGTCAACAGCACGCATGCCAATGGTGATCGGCTGCTCCGCGCGAGAGCGACGAACGCGCAAACCCACGTATGAATGGTGAATGGTGGGGTGGGGGACACAGCCAAACCCGGCCAAACCTATGCGAAAACAAATGTTCCACAGGGACCCCCTACATGAGCTGAGTAAATCACCACAACAAGTGAAACAATGGCTGTCCCTAAAGACCCCGTTTCTGCTATACCGACCGACCCTATCGCCTCGCCCCATCGCACCCTTTGAGTAAATCATCCTCTACGGCAGGTGTCTAATCAGCTGCGGTAACGCCTCCCCTCCCTACTCAGCCTATTTTGTCGTTTCCTTTTCTGTCGCAATGCCTCTCAGCAGCGGCGGCATCGGGCAGCGCCCGCCCCTCCAACGGCAGCGCGGCCCCCGGCGGCCGCCTCACACCTGTATCCACCGGCACATCAGCTGATAGCCGAAAAGCCCCCTGCGAACGGCTCAGCTACGTGTTCGTGTTAGGAGGTCACCACCACCCCCCGTATCTCGGCCGTGTGCGTGCGTCCCAGACCGGCAGACAGCTGACGGGACTCGGGCGCCTCGAGAGCTGCTCCAGGACGCCGTCGTCGTTCAGGCCCAGGACCTCCACCTCCAGGACGACGCGGCGGTGGCTCCAGCACCGCTCCATTACGTCATTTACAAACGCCCCCCTCTGGATTCGGGTCGGCCCCGGCGGCGGCGTCGCGTCGCCGTTTCGGCCGCAGCCGCCGCCGCCGGCCCATCGCCCAGGAGACTCGTCTGGCCAGGCGAGGAGGTGAGGCAACCAACCCTACCTGAACTGCCTCCCGAGCCTGGCTGGCTGGCAGCGAGCCGCGCCGCGCCGGACAGGCGGCCAGCCAGGGCGGCCAGCCAGCCCGCCGACCCAAACCTGCCGTGCCGCGGCCGCGGGCGCGAGGGGCGGGGCGAGGCGGGGGAGGCGGGGGCACCTGCCGCTACAGTCAGCCCCGCTCCGTTCTGGGCTGCGTGCGAGGCGGCCCGCGAGAGAGAGGGGGCGGGCGCTCGCGTGGGTGGAAGCGAGAGGGCCGAGCCCCCGCGGACGCGCCCCGAGCGGCGCTCGGCTCGGCTCGGGGCCCATTGGCTGGCTGCGGCGCTGCAGCACGGCCCGGCCCCCGGCCCCCGGCCCCTTCAGTACGCGCCGTCACCCCGCGCCGGTAGGACGCCCGCATGCTGCCCGTCTGCGTCGCGAGTGCGCGTGTGTGAGTGTGTCTGTGTGCGTCCTCACTGCGCTCTGCAGGCACCGTGTGCGTCCTCAGAGCCAAGGGTTGTGCGACCTGGAGCCGCCAGGGTTTCCTCCAGGTGCCTCCTGCAAGTGTTTCGGCCCGTTTTCGTTTGTCGCCCTGCGCACAGGTGTGTGAGTGTGAGAGAGAGACGGCGAGAGTGTAGCTTGTGTGTCTGTGTGTGTGAGAGAGTGAGAGGGGGAGTCCTGCAGCTGCAGCTGCACCCAGCTTGGATACCGAGTGAATCGCAGCGGTCGGATACCCGCGTATCCAGCGCGTCGCTCTCCAGCCCAAGAGGACCTGCAGCGCTGGGAGCCCCTCCTGCCCCTCCCGCCGCGCCCCGCCACGCCCTGCAACAGGTGAGAGAGAAAGAGCGAGAGAGTGAGGCAGAAAGAGAGAGGCGACCGTCTCGCCCAGGGGCCCAAAGGCGGCGGTGCATGGTGCATCCCGGCGGCGGCCCAGCGGACGCATGCAGTCGCGTTGACAAAGGGAATTTCACGCTCGGGCGACGCAGCGGCGCGACGCCTGGAGGAGGCCTGGAGGAGAAGGCCTGCAAGGCGCCTGGACAAGTCCTGGAGGAACGCTATGGAGGCGCGCTTGCCGGAGCCCTGGAGCGGCCGAGCACTGGAATGCTATCCAGCATGGCCGCTCTCCAGGCCGGCTGGAGGAGGAGAGCTGCACTGCAGGCGATTCCTTGCGACGTCCTGTCCTTCTCCCAGGCCGCCTCTCATTCTTGGCAGTCTGTTGTCTTTTAAGCTTTACTGTTATTTTTTCCCTCCGAGCTTGGCCGCCGTGACCACGACTCTACGCGACTGGCGACTGCTGTCACTGCCTTATTATTTTTATGACAGGCCCTTGCTCGGACGCGACGGCCGCCCGTCCGAGAGTGAATTTTATTATGTTATCCGTTTCTGCTGTCTTGATATCTCGCGCCCGACTTTCGTCGGCTGAACATCCCCTAAACAGGTTGCACGGATGGTAACGACTCGCTGTACGTACAGTTTGAAGTGCCCCTTCTCTCCCTTAATGACATGGTGATGACGGGGTTTTCTGCTTAATTTCGGTCACGTCGCTGTAAGTCAAACTGATTTAGCATATCGCGTCGTAGCTCAGTGGATAGGTTTTTGTTTGCGCCGGCCTCTTCCGCGTGTCTCATCACGAGGCTCGCTTTTAGTTCAGGCTTCTCCATAGGAAACCAGTCCGTGGAACGCAGAGTCCGTATCGGCGCCTCTTCTAGCGGTCTAGCTCACGTGTTTCTCAATTAGAAAGACAAACTTCTCACGTGTTTTCAAACACACACAAAAAAAGAAAACAAAAGCTGCTATGTGTTTTCAAAAAGAAAAAGAAAACAGGCCACGTTTCCAAAAGACCGTCCAAAAAGCTACTCACGTGTTTTCAAACAAAAACAGAAAACAAAACAGGCTATGTGTTTTCAACAAAAAGAAAAAGAAAAAAAAGAAGAAAATAAGCCACGTTTTTTCCTCAAAAAATGCCCCAAAAACAGGTTTGGACCGCAGCTCAGCTTTGGTGCTGCTCCTTGTCAGCTGATTATGGCGGACTCGTAATGATTCGTTATCAACGGCAGCTCACCGGAGCCGACCCGCGAGACCCTATTATACCTGGCCCATTCTGCCCTTTTATCGGCAAATAAGAGTCTGTGTGTGTGTGTGTAAGTGTGTAACTGTGTAACTGTGAGTGTGTGTGAAAGTGAGACGGGGCAGTGGCTGATAGAAGCGCCACCCAGACCAATCAAGCTATCGAGTGATTAGTGCCTCAGTTAGAGAGAGAGAGAGAATCGCCGCCTTTTAAAACTACCTGGCTCTTTATCTATGCCTCACTGCTACTCGCTGCTGCAGCTGCCACACTGATGCTGCTGCAAGCCGACGTCAAGCCGACGTCACCAATCGTCCGTTGACCGCCCACCACTGGGCAGCTGCGGCAGACACTGCGTTTTGTGTTTGCATGGTTTGCATACTTGCCACTCTTTGCTTTTCGAAGTGTGTCTGTTGGCGACACGCTGTGGCATCGTCGGATTAAGTAAGCGATTTCTGGCACCTGCAGCCGCCCAGCTGCCTCTGCAGCTGCAGATGTGCGCGGCGGTCACGATACGCCCCACCGCACCCCGCTCTCCGCCACTCGCCATACGCAGCAGCGCTTCGAATGTGGGAGCTCTTTGAGATTATTGTTCTCTTTTTCCGGATTGGCAGGCGGTCGGTGGGCGTTCTGGGGCCGGTCGGCATAAGTGCACTGCTAAAAGAACCCCGCAAAAAAACACGCACTCATTTAGAAAAAAAAGAGAACCATAACAACAAAAGAGCACGCGAGGTTTTTTGTAGCCTATTTTGTGTAGGCTCATAGCAAAACTCGAAGCTGTTCTGCGGTGGGAAGGTCGTTGGACCAGTCTTGAGATTAGCGAGTCAAGATAGTGGTGTCGTCGCGGTGCGGTGTGAAAGACACCGTTTTGGTCCGGGATGTTGGTTGTATAGTGTTCTCAGCGGAAATCTCGAATTAGAGTTAGGAACACTTTGTGTAAAAAATGCTACCCAAGAATCTGAGTTCTTGGATAAGCATATTGTACTTGACCTTAGATTTTTAAAGCACACATAACTTGAATCAAGATATAGGTACTTGAAGAATCAAGGATCAAGTACAAAACGTACTACGTCCAAGCAGACCTCCAGTTTTTGGGGTCTGAATTAATATGTGAACATACCTTTTTCTGAACCTACCCAAACGCGTGTGCGTATTTGTGTGTGTGTGTGTGAGCGTGCGTGCGTTTGCATGTGTCTGTTAGACCCCTGCCACGGTCACGGGTGCTCTCTGCTCGCCATTTAGGTCCTGTTTTGCCCGCCAACGGCTCGTCGCCGTTCATTGCGATTTGAATGGCTAATTGCAGAGTGCGAACACACACTCACACACACACACACACACACACACACACACACACACACACACACACACACACACACACACACACCACATGACACCTTTGGAAAAGCCACTCGTTTCGCATTTCTTCTTTTCTCTCCCCTTTGGGGCCATCACTGGCTTTCAGATTCGACGTGTTCCGTCCGCAAAATCTTTGACAGAAGCCAAAACAGTTGATGAATGTCCTTTGTTGTTCTGTTGGTAATACTAGGACGGCAGGGTTATCCCTTGAACGTTTCGTTTGAACGACGCCGTCATTGAACGCCTGCGCTCAGCGTTCTCTGCACTCTGTTGTGCATATGCTACTAGTTACTTTCCCCGCGCGGTCTTGGTGGCGGCCAGCCCAGCCCAGCCAGCCCCGGCCAGCAGCAGCGCCGCCGAAGAAGCCGAGCCGCAGAGCTCGCCGATCCCTTCCCTTTTTCGCTGGCTGCGCCCCTTTTTCGCCGGCAGCGTTCCATCGGCCCGGCCTTTTCCTTTTCATCCGCGGCGTTTGTCCCCGCTCTGTCTGGTCGCGGTGGCAGCAGCAGCAACAGCAGCAGTAGTAGTTGTAGTAGCAGCAGCAGCAGCAGCAGCAGCACAGGTACCGCAGACTGAGCTGGGCTGGGCACCCCAAAATCAGGTCAGCAGACACCTGAGCCTGTGCCGAGCCCTGTCCTGTTCGGCCCCTGTTGGTTCCGCGCCGCGCCGCGCCGCGCCAAGCCCCCCTCTCCCCCCCCCC